ATGGATAGATAGATAGATTGGTAGTGTATATACAAGTATATGTAATAAATTGGTACAAACATAATCAAATATAGAGATATACATATGTATATGTATATATATATATACTGTATCCATCAAGGTTTACAGAGTTCCCAAAAAGGTATTTCCTAAGATTGAACAGGAATGCAGCCTGACACCTGAGCCTCTAAGCCCGAGGTATCGAGGTGACTGGGGCGACTCCGGCAAGAAGAAGATGACGCCCGCCGACCGCAGTTTTCGAGTCTCCGGTGTTTCAGGGTTCGACGATATCGATTCAAGCGGGCCACTCAGGCGAGCACACACACACACACTGTGTCTCTCTCTCTCTCTCTCTCTCTCTCGCTCTCTCTCATACGTATATATATATATATGTATATGTATATATATATATATGCATGTGTTTGTATGTATGTAACAGTATGTATGTATGTACGTACGTATGTATGTATGTATGCATCGATGCATGTATGTATGTGTGTATGTTCGTACGTATGTATGTATGTATGTATGTATGCATATACTTATTTATGTACCCGTACACACACATTGTCATCATCTGTGTATGTACTTAATTGTCAAGTTGGTTAATTAATTCAGCAGTTCATTATAAATTATTTCATTACCTATGTAGAAAAAGTTCGAATTGGTCAGACTAACTGAACTAGTTAACTCATTGACTGAATAATTAGTCGATTAGTTGGTTAAGTAATTATATAATTGGTTAGTTATGCATATACATATACATATACACACTTGTTAAATTATCGGCATTAGCCAAACATGTGTGTATAGTTGTACGTATATGGCTTACATCACATATCATGTATCATGTATTGTTGTATACATATGTACACAGACATGGCATGAAAGACCGACACACCCACAACCCTACTCTTGAACCAGGTGCGTTTTAAACCCTGCCTATAGTCTCCCTTGTAGTTCCTCTTTTGGGTTTAACTGTCGCCATCTTTATTGGGATCCTAGAAGGTAACCCAAAAAATTAAAAAGGAACGGCAATGGAGAGTATAGGTAACCCTAAACCATATGGGCTGACCACTCCAAGCGCTGCAGTCCTTTGTTTCCATCGCACGAAAGAAACCAGGGCTTACAAGCTTGCTGTCGGGCTTAGGGTTTAGGGGTTTGTCAAGGTTCTTCTTCACTTCTACTTCTGTCGATTGGCTTCATGGGTTAGAGCCTGTCGATGGTTGTTTTGCGGAATCAAGGGCTTATGGTGTTAAGTAGTCAGGGGCGCAAGGGCTTAGTGGTTTAAGTTAAGGTTGTTTTACCAAATGTTCGGTTCGAGCTTAACCCTAAGGGTCCAAAGGCTGAGTCCAAAGGACCTACTAACCATATACTTGGGTTACGGATAGTAGTTTTGTAGGTGAGTCTGAGTATTCAGAAGAGTATATGATTATTAAGTACTTGGACCCTTATAGGGTAACTTAATAACCCTACGCCGATTGAAGCTTTGGCGGTTAAAAGCACCTGCACGGCCCCCATGCCACCATCTTTTCGCACTGCGCCGCTAGACGTTGCTTCCGCAAGAAGTTCAGGCTTTGGTGCTTAAGGTTTGGGTTTAGGGTTTGGGGTTTAGGGTTTAGGGTCTGGGGTTTAGGGTTTGGGGTTTAGGGTTTAGGGTTTGTAGGGTTAGGGTTTAGGGTTTAGGGTTTAGGGTTTAGGGTTTAGGGTTGTCTCGGTACACTGGGTGTATGTAGGTAAGTAAGGGCTATCAGTGTTTGTCGCTTAGAGCTTCAAGAATCAAGGGACTTAGTAATTAAGCGCGGTCATAAGCAAGGTGACCCTAAACCCTATAAGCCCTAAACCCTATAAATCCTATCAACCCTAAACCCTAAGCCCTATAAACCTTACAAACCCTAAAAGCCCTATAAACCCTAAACCCCAAACCCTAAGCCTTTGAACCTTATAAACCCTGAACCCCAAACCCTAAGCCCTATAACCCTAAACCCTAAACCCTATGAACCCTATAAGCCCTAAACTCCATGATAGACCCTATAACCTTATCAACCCTAAACCCCAAACCCTAAACCCTATAAGCCCTAAAAACCCCAAGTAGGGGAGGGGACAGCGTGTGACTGTAGCTCAGGATTGAGGGTTTCGGGCTAGGGTTTAGGGTTTACGGTTTGGGAATTAGGGTTTAGGGCTTTGAGTTTAGGGTTTGGGGTTTAGGGTTTAGGGAGCAGTTTGGGGCATGGTGTTGAGGATTTTGGGTCTGGAGGTTTGGGTTCACAACTGAGGCCCCTGACCGAAGATGCCGAAGCGCCAAAGACCCCGGCCCCATGACACTAAGCATCAACTCGACAAAGCAAACCTTAAGTTTATATAGATTTCCAGGCTCTAGATGATAGGCTTAAGCTGTAGCGTTCAGCAGTTCAGCCTTGCCTCTGTGTTGAATACTGCCTTCCCAGGAAGTGGATCAGCGATTGTGCACAATCACTGGAGTCCTTGGGCGAGGTTAAACACGAGGCTGGCCGATGGGCTGCAAGAGATTTCGGGTCTGGTTGGAGCACCCTAAACCTTCAAACCAAAACCCCTAAATCCTCACAGACCCTGAATCCAGAACTAAGCTGCCTATCGATCTGTCTGCCTATCGGTCTGTCCGTCGATGCTGTCGACCTGTGTATCTAGCTATGTTTCTATGCTTCGATCTATAACTCCTGTCCCCTACCAGAAATTCATGCATCAGTTTCAACTCTTTTGTGAATGTGTGTGTATGATTCCACGGAGGATGCCTTGCACAAGACGCCTACACTTGCCAAGCAAACTTAACTTGGACTTGGACTTACTGGTTCAGACCTCTACATAAACCCTAAACCCTAAACCCCTAAACCCTAAACCCCTAAACCCCTAAACCCTAAGCCGTCTACATTGAGCACTCAGGTCCTAATCTTGGGCCCCGAGCCCCACACTCAAGGACGGAACGTCTCAAAACCACAGCTATCTGCATCCTTATAGCTAGGTCCCGGAGTGGTACCCTTTTGCCCTTTTTATTTTTGGGCCCCCTTACTAAAACCGAATAGTAGGAAAAAGGGTACCCTTATCAAAAAAAGGCTACTCAGGAACCAAGATAGAACCTTTGGAGACCCTTGTAGCACCACATGTACCTCCAGGAGCACCATTTCACGCAGGACGCCGACTCTCGCGCGAATCCTTTGTGATGAAAAAAAGTCCTTGGGCCCCGAGCTTTCCTACTGGGGGTTTAGGGTTTTCGGTTTATGTAGGGTCTTCCGGCTTCTATCAGGGTTCCTTTACAGGCTATACAGGGTCTAGGTTGCAGGGTTGAGAGTCTGATGTCGGGTTTACGGGTTCGACGAAAAATCGGCCACGGGGGTTCTGAACGTGTGGAATGTTGAATCTGATTTTCGCAGGGTCTGTTAGTGGCAGGTTTCTACAGATTCAGGGTACGTACATATAGGGAATTTAGAAGAAATCCTGAAGCCTTCTCTTCGTGCTTCTTTTGGGTGAGTACGTAACACTGTACTTATTTGGGTTATTCAACTGGAAGACTCGCCTTTCTAGGTGGCAGGGAATGGATCTACATGCTTGGAGTAGGGTCTAGGGTTTAGGGACGACCCTGAACCATCGTATGCAACAAAGGTAGTCATGTTCTTAACGGGATGACCTATGCTATGCTTCGACCCGGTTCAAGCAACTGGCTTGCTTACAGTTTGGGTGAGGGCGGGAGGGGAGGCATGAGAGTCTCAACGCTGCGAAGAGAGAGAGAGAGAGAGAGAGAGAAAGAGAGAAAGAAAGAAAGAAAGAAAGAAAGAACGAGAGAGAGAAAGAAAGAAAGAAAGAAAGAAAGATCGAAAGAAAGAACGAGAGAGAGAAAGAGAGAGCTTTGATACAGCTTCAGGTCCCAACCCTTCACCCCTGAAAGGATGCTTAGGCTCCCTCTAATCAATACCCTTAACTGTGCTGTCCTTGGCCCTCTAGCACTCCCCAAAGGGCCCATTCCAGCCCAAGGAATCAGGTTTTTGGATTAGGGAGGGGGTTCACTAATCGGAGGAGGAGATTATAGTGGTCGGACCGTCGGAATAGTTGGCAGTAGAGTTCATTTACAATCCCTTTGTATTCATGAGTAGTAAATATTTGTAAAGGCACCTATACTATGCAGACGATACCAACCTTCCCCATGCGCTTCAGTCTAAACTTCCCAGGTTCTGGGCTTCCAAGGCCCCAAGCCCCAAACACTAAACCAAAACTACTATTCAACCCTAAACCCTAACAGTTTAGCATTTAGGGTTTGGCTCTAGCCCCTCTCCAAGTACTCAGTCGTAAACCGAAACCCTAGAGTAACGGCCAGAAAGTTGGAACGTTACCATCCTCAGGCCCGTACGGTAAAGCATGGGGTTTAGGGTTTAGGGTTTAGGGTTGAGGGTTTAGGGTTGAGGAATCCTAGCACTACCTCATCCCGAGCCCATGTTCCAACTTTCTGGGCTTCACTATATACCCAGCCTGAATCAACCCAAGACTCCAAACCGAAACCCCACCTACGCCCTGAAGTCTAGACTATAGCCTGAAACCCTAAGCACTATAAACCCCTTTAAGGAACATAGCTGAAGAGTTCTAAGCTTAATGCCTCTGCCTAGAAGTCTGTACCATGTTGTATTGGAAGCCGCAAGCCAACCCCTAAACCCCAAAAAGCCCTATGTCAAACCCTACCCCAAATCCCAAACCCTACACCCCCACCCTACACCCCCACCCTAAACCCTAAACCCTAAACCCCAAACCCCAAAGCCTATGCCGGTACCCTAAACCCGGAAGCCGATGCCTAATTCCAAGAAGAGCCCGCGAAACCCTCATTAACCCCTGAACTTGAAACCCTCACCCCTAGACCCTAAATCCGTGAAAGTGGTCAGTGCACTTTAAAAAAAAGAGACCCTAAATCCTTTAAGCCCAGGTTGGGGGGAGGAGGGGGGGTTAAGGTTAGGGTTTAGGGTTTAGCATCCTCGTGAAAGGGCATCAGCCGGCTCCCCGCACTATTCGGGCAAAGCCAAGCAAGGCGCGGCGCCTGGCGACGGTTTGCTTTTTTTGTTTCAGCGAACGGGTGGGGGGGGGGGGGGAGGG